TATAGCTGGAAGAATCATCGAACTAAATTCATTGATTGAGAGATTGTCGTGTGGTTCCCGCATGTGGCCTCGCGGCGTTGCAAGCCGCAGAGAGAGTCGTGTCGTTTCAGCACCTCTTCCGCGCAGTCTGTGAGCCGGACCAATATGAACTGGTTCTACACACATTACAAACATATTGTTACATCGTGTATATATATATTATATGCATAGAGAGAGAGAGAAACAATAGTTATGTATCAAAATGCAGTAAAATACAATTGCAGCTATAGGTCGTTGCGGTCGTTGCCTAAAGCTTTGCTGCTAAGTCATGGGACTACTCCTAAATCCTCCAGTCATAATTTACCCATCAGAACCTGAGTTAGGGATCCCCATCACAGAATCTGCCAGATAGTTGATGATTGTATTATTGTTATTACCCATGACGGATCCATGGTGCTGGTATATATATATATATGCTAACATAAAGGGGGTATATTGATGGGATCCATGTTACCAAATATATAGCATACATGGATCCTATGGGTAATAACAAGAATACAATCATCAACTATCATGATAATAATTATATATAATTATCATAATGATAGTTCACAGATTATCATAGATTATCATAGTTGATGGTTGTACTATGAACTCTGTTATACAATTTATAGCCAGTAATATCATAATCCATGAACTGGGAATCTCCATTAAGCAACAAGCACCAAACCAGCAGAGTTGTTTGCTTTTGAGCAGCAAATCTCTAGCCCGTTGACACGAAAATCATTGAACATCACAGTGTGATCGGCTGCGCTTTTTGTGACCAAAGTCTCAAAGTAGAACGTGAAAAGAAAACTTGAGTTGTGCGCAACGCGCCGTCGTAGTACCCACATTGCCTAGCCAGAAGGTCGGGCATCTGGGTTGGCCAGGGGCTAGCAATCTTGCTTCCAAGATTCTGTTACAATTTCAAGATGTATTTCATGACCCATAGGATCCATATATGGTATATATGCTAACATTGGGGGTATATTGATGGTAAATGTTACCATATATAGCATACATGGATCCTATGGGTGATATTTCAGAAGATTTTCTAGGCCACGAATTATGGAGAACCTGATGGACCCGATCCCTGAAAGTTTACAAGCAGTTGCTTGAGCCATCTCGTCCCTAATACTAGCCCAGCCAGACCAGCCGTAGCCGTGCTGCGCATGAAGCCGAAGAAATTTCACGGAGAGTCCCATGCGATGTTCGCAATCCTCCTGACCAAGTTTCCTACCTTGATCTCAGATGGTCACCCTTCCCCAAGCTGCATCAAATTCACATGGGTATGGATCAATACCTATTAATACCATTTTTAGTGGGATGAACATCCATTTACCAGCTATTTTGATGTGAACTACAGGGGTACAAGGTTTTGACACACTGCCATATATATTCACAATATCTGCTTAAGTGAAAGCGGATTCTCTGAGCCATAGGAGCTTCGTGCTTTGATTATAACCGTGGAGCATGACCGTGGCAAAACACGCTGGCGGATCCGCTGTACATCGGCCTTGCTTGGATGGCACGGAGGAAATATATCCAAAGCCATGACGGATCCATGGTGCTGCTATATTAATGCTAACATTGGGGGGTATATTGATGGGATCCATGGCACACCATATATAGCAGCACCATGGATCCGTCATGGGATATACCAACTTTGAAGTCTTTCAAGTGCTTTCGACATCTTTTGACTGATTCGAACCAGTTTTTTTTCGTTGGATTTCTCCAATATCTTTGACGCTTCGGCGTTTTTTTTTATGCGTCGTGGCCGCGTGGCGAGTTGGGGAACGGTGTTCACCCCGTTCTCGCCGAGTACAGAGCGTTGTGGGGACCTCAAGACGGTGCCTTTCTGCTCCAGAAACTGGGGCCGTCTACCAGTTGGATTTTTACATACCCTCTGGTAATTTAACATAGCTATTGAAAATGACCATTAATAGTGGATTTTCCCATTAAAACTGGTGATTTTCCATAGCTATGTTAGTTTACCAGAGGGTATTTCTGGGCAAATTATAACGACCTCACTGTTCTCCCTCACTGGGAATGATGGTTAGTAGGTGACTATCCCCAAATGACCTTATTTCGGGTCAGTGAAATATTACAATTTACCCAGATATTTCAACACTGTAAGTGGGAAAAATTGTGCTGATTTAAGTGAAACCAATGGATCTTGTGTGGCTTCCCTCATATTTTTTTGGACAAACATGGACAACCAAAGTAGAGCTGTGACAGAGGAGCCATTTCAAAGAGTAAACCTAACGGAAGAGTCTCTTGATTTAAATGGGATGCTTCATGTATTTAAGTGGACTCCTTGAATCATTCGTGAATCCTTTGAGTGAATCATGAAAAAAAATCCCAGTACCTGACATGGTCAGCTATCCAAGGTCCACAGTGCCTTTGGAGAGGGCATGACAGCAGCGATTTCCTATGGCGAGAGTGAGCAGGCCGGGCCAAAAACCGCACGCTGCTGATCTCGACGAAAATGCTCGGGGGATTTCAGGCCATCGCCGTAGGTTTCAATGTTCAAGTTCAAGTCACATGACGACTGGATGCTTTGGGGGTATGACTTCGGAAAGCTCCAGGTGTTTCAGATGGGCCGAGATGGGATGAGTTTTGCTACTCTGACACCCCTTTCCCCTGGATTTCGGCACCAGATTTCCAACTTGGGTATGGATCAAAGGCACGATGAACCGATACCCGCATTTATATAGAACCCCATGAAAGTCCTCATTAAATTACCATATATTACTATACATCACCTTTTTTTTGTCGGTGTTTCCATCATAGCTTCAAATTGCATCAAGCCTCTTGACCATGAGGATTGTCTGGCTTAGCAAATGGTTAAGAGCCCTGGTCGGTAAGTTGTCAAGTCTTTGTTTTTTCCTACAAATAGAAGTGAACTTACCCTGGTTACGAACCAGATACGAGGATCAAAGATGATCCTCTAAGTTGCAAGCGACAAGGGAGTTGCAAGTGGGTTAAAAGTTAAATCTCTGAAATCCCGTCAAATCAATTCAAATCAGCATTTTTTGGGTGAAGTCCCGTCAAATCACCATGTATTGATCCAAAAATACTTACACTCGTACGGAATTCAAATCTCGTCAAAGCACAAGAAAATCATGTTTGAGCCACCATCAAATTCCCAATTTCCTTGGGAGATATGGGATCCTTAATGGGATATATCCCCGACATTTTTTCCCCTCAATGCTTTTTTCTGTACCTTCAATGGTTTTTTCTTGTGCTCCTTTGCCCAACCATTCCTAGGTTTGGAAGAGCTTTACAGGTGACCGTGCCCGGGGCTGTTTTTCAAAATGATCAGTTTTTGACCAGGATTTATCAGGATTGAATCATCAAACAATTGGTAAACCAAGCCATCCGTTACTAGGCGATTAAAATTACCACCGTAAAAGGACATTATTTATGGCATGTATTGGACATATCATCAGTGTATGCTGGACTTGACCTTCACTTGGGGATTTAATGTTCGACAAAAAAGTGCACAAATGAACTTTCAGAAGGTAGCAAGTATCAACGACTTGGCATGGTTATGAAAGTAACGGTATCTGTTGTTGTTGTTGTTGCTGCATATATATATATGGGTTTGTCCAATTGATGGCCATCGAACCATGGGAACATCAATGAACATCATGTTTCAAGCTTCAAAGATGTTCAAATTCTGATTAATGGTGATTAATAGTGATTAATAGTGATTAATAGTGGTGATTAATAGTGATTAATGCTAATTTCTGGGGCACCGTGTTTTCAAACAACCCCAAGTCCTTACATTGATGCCGATGCCATCGTTGGAAATCCATGATGGGTTCGTTTTTTGTCCAGTTTTGGGCTTTGCAAAACCAACAAAAAAAACAGTTACCAGTTACATACACTATTTTTGGGAGGATGAACATCCAGCTATTTTTTGAGATATGATATAATATATAACTACAACTTGATATGTCGATGTTCTATAACCAGGAGTTTCCTTGGGCCTTGGGTTTTTGACACATCACCTTGACAGAATTCATGGGGATGAGGTGATGCGACCGTTCACAGAGGTGGGACGGTTGGAGTGTTGTGGAGTTCACGGGACGAGAGGCTGTGGTATCACACAAAATCAAGCAAACAAATATGTAGAGAATGTCAAGTTAGGATTATAAATCTAGTATAGGGATATTACTGTCTTGTAATTCATCATAGTTCATCATAACTTGACATTCAATGTCATGAGTCATGAGGATTGTCGTGTCCAAAAAAGACACTGATCGAGGTCGCAGTGACACAGTGAAAGGGCGACTTTTCAAGAGGGCGAGCGAGGAAACGCTTGGGTTCCTCAGTTACCCTTCGCTAATTGTCACAGTTTGCAGTGGAAGTTGGCCCACGAATAGATGATTTACAGTACCTACTATGACTTTGAATGGATGAAAATGGCCCTTGAATGGATGATTTACCTACTAGAATGGGTACCTTGTATAGCTATCTTAGATTAGCAGAGGATAGACTATCAAAGTGCTCTGAGTCTATAATAGTTCAAGTCATGTAAATAGAGTCAGCAATGAATGTGTGAAACAATCATCCAAACAGTTGTCATCATTATTCATCTATATTATGTAAGTGGTTGCATGGTTATAGTTGAGTTCATTCATGTCCAAGCCATCTGTTCTGTCTCAAGCTGGGTTGGCGGTGACCATTCCTCACGGCATTCTTGGGGGTGCAGCTCCACTTCTTGATAAATTAGGTAATTATATGGCCATAGTTATGCGGATTATATCATAATCATAACCCATGACGGATCCATGGTGCTGCTATATATGGTGTGCCATGGATCCCATCAATATACCCCCACTGTTAGCATTAATATACCAGCACCATGGATCCGTCATGGGTAATATATCCAAACTAAGGGGTGGTAATTACAATGATCAACCCAACTGCACCAAGTGCAACGGTTCCAGCCTCTAGCCACCACACCAAAGCGGCCACAAAAGCGGCGCTGTCTGTCTTGCCATGTCTTGCCATGTTTTCTCAACCAAAAGATGAGGCAGAACATGGAAGGGACCCAGATCTGGTCAGCAATTGGCTTGCATTGAACCAACCATTGCTGGCTCGCACACTAAAGGCCTGTCAACAGTTCCATGCCAATGTTTATGCAAGGAACTGCGACAAGGTCATTGCTGCAAAAGCGTTTCAGTACAGGACGCGACGGGATACGCAGCTGAGACAGAAAGTTTGGATGTTGTCCTTGGATATCCTTCAGTACTTCGCGACGGAAGTATGGAATGAATTGGGATGATGGATCTATAGGTTGAAATATCATGAAATATCAGCAAATATGACCAGATGGCCAAACTTTTCAGGTTAGTCAATATTATACTTTATAATTTATCCGTAGAATTCGCAAACAAGAACTGTACTACAAGCCACTGCATGGAAGATTTCACGGCAGGAACTTGCGTTTGGGTCAGAGGGCTGGCTTTTTGCAAGAGTCCTGGCACATCTGCAGCTTCAACAAAAATGCCATCGCGGAAGGTTGGGGACTGAGAGATGAAGATCTTCAGATTAAGGCCATAGCAACCAAAGCTCATTGCACTGCAGATGCTGAGATATGGAAAGGCAACTGCAGACTTTGTGAAGTGCAGTTCAAAAGATATTCCGATGCAAAAGCAACAGCGCGTGCCTTTGCAAATCCCAAGTACGAGGGCATGCTGAAAGTTGGGCCTATGGATCAGGTTTCCGGCGAGGGAAGCTTTGAAGCCTCTATCAACTGTGAAGGGGTCAGTAGTGATCCATGTACACGAATGGAATTGGATGAAATGGCTGCGAGAGGGAGTAAAGGAGAGGGATCCCAGGGATACCTTCGAAGATTCGATGTCTCTACTGTCTCTACCACGTTGATCCTTGATCTTGGTCTGTGTGCAGTCAAGAGTGCATTCACCCTGACACTGCTTCTTCTAGTGCAGCACTTCAGCCACCCTAGAAATCGGAGGAGACTTTTCTCTGCCGCGGATTCAATCTTTAACTTTGAGTTATTGTTTGTTGAGAGGTGTTCAATCCAAGCCTGGATTTTCCCATGAATTCGGCGGGGATTTCATGGGATTTCCGGTTTCAATTTTCCCTTGAAACAAGATACAGAACTACAATCAACTACATTGATTCCCATATCATCAACATTCATCAACCATTTCCCCATCATTTCCCCATCATTTCCCCAGGAAACGCCTCTCCCTGTGGCCCGTGTGTCTCGGCAGCGCCGCTTCCGTCCTCCTAGGTCTGGCACAGCACGCGGCGGAAGGAGCCGGGAGCGGCCGCGGGTCCACGGCCGTTGCCGTGGCCGTGGCGCTGGGGAGCTGCGGAAGATCCATCGTCGATGCACGAGGTGCCAAGGATTTCTGTACAGAATGCTGCCGTCATTTGGGAAATATCATTGGGATTCATTCCCTAAGGATCCATGTATGGAATATTTACTATGGTTAATAATGGTTTATAATGGTTTATAATGGTTTATAATGGTTTATAATGGTTTATAATGGTTTATAATGGTTTATAATGGTTTATAATGGCATACCCTCTGGTAAACTAACGTAACTATGGAAAGATCCACCATTTTTAATGGGAACATCCACTATTTCTATGGCCTTTTTCAATAGCTATGTTAAATTACCAGAGGGTATCATTGGGATTCATTGGGATATATCAACATTCATGATATGTGATATCAATGTGAAATTGTGAAATGTGAATCAATGTGATTTCAATTATATACCCTCTGGTTATTTAACATAGCCATGGAAAATGGCCCATAGAAATAGATGGTTTACCTATTAAACATGGTGATTTTCCATGGCTATGTTAGTCATAACCAGATGGTACTGTTTAATGGGGAAGATCATGGGGATATGCAGCGGTATACAGTAATTGATATCGATCATAGTATTCTTTGGTGATGTATTCTGGGGAAGATCAGAATGTTAAATAACCAAGACAATAATGGGCATACGATAACAACAGAAAATATCAAACTGGGAATATCAAGTGAATTTTCCCGGTAATATTGAATGGGGCTGTAATGGGGATATAACGGGATATGGGAATATAAGGATTAAATATATTTAAATATCATGAATTTATGACATCACATTGAATCATCATTATCTAAACAAACTTTGAGACACCAAATGCAGTTAAGATATCAGATTCTGCGAGTCTGTGAGATATGAAATTACGATGTTTGTTTGACTTCAAACTGTTTTTTGTTTTTCTTTTTAAGTTTATATATATAATTAGCATTGAATCACAGATGATTGGACGTTACACATCGATACTCTACGTTATTTGGTCATATTTTGGTCATTGTTTGTTATATTTGCACCCGAAGCTTGGAGGAAATCAGAGTGAAAAACATGCCGTTCAATCCAGGTGCGTTCAGAAAGCACGGAGCAAGCTTGGGCACTTTGCTCCCCAGCAGTTGCGAGTTGATCACTGCTTTGCTCTTCGCATCAAGCGGAGAGTTTCGTGACTTTGACCTGACATGTTGAATGGACAATCCACTACGACTGGGGAATCTGTTTGGGGGAATATGTTCTATTTTTGTTTGGGGGTTCCTTAAGCAAATCCCAAATTTTCACTTGAGACTGTATACTGGCTTCCCAAAGAATCTTTGTAGCTTTGGCATGCGGCATGCTGCAATGACACGGTGAGACTTGACGCAGTTTGCCCTACTTGACGCTCAGTGCTCAGGTAAAACACTGTCGAGCAGTTTCTGCGCATGGATCTTCTTCTCAACTGGAAGTGTGGCACTGTTTGCGCTGAGGTGTCACTGCGTCCGGAGACACTGCGACCTGTGGGCAGAAGAATTTTTTGTTGAACACAGTGCAGTGGTGCAGGGTCCAGCACTCCATGATGGACAACACTGATCGGCCATTTTGGGTGCTGAGTGTATCGCCTATGGCTGAAGTTTGGAGGTTTTGAATTACGTTATGTTATATGTATACAGATGGTATCATATGATGATTTCTTAAAATGTTCCCAAAGCATGGGTTTCAATTTCAACTGGTCTAAGTTCGGATGATTTAAGGGTACCCCCATTTCAGGAAACCTCCATATGAATCACAGAAATGTCTTGCACATACACGTGAAAATCGTACAGCACCAGCCAAGTGCCAAAGACCAAGGGAATGAGGGACTTGTGGCTGTCGTCACCTGCCACCACTCTTGAGGAGTGATTCACCCTGACCCTCAATGATTCAGCTATGGGGTTTGAAATCATCAGAAGCAAAAGATAGCCATGGCGGCTTGTTTTTTTTGAACCATGAGGCTGGCAGCACAAGATGGTTTCAACACTGAAATTCATCTCTCAAACCCTAGATCGCGCTGACCCCCAAGTCTTGGACCAGTCATGTCTTTTTGAGTCTTTTTGTTCCACGTTACGCACGTTAAACCCAAACCACAATATTGATTCAAATTGTATCAAATGATCAAATGTATTAAACCAGATCATGATAATCAAACTATACCTACTGTATCATATGATGCGTAACGATACTAAACGTTGTAATTGCATGTAATTGCACTACATTGGACATCATTCAACCATCCTCAACGTTATTGAAACAACACGTGTTTTATTCAATCACATTGAAAGAACACACAATCTGTTGCCACAGAAAGCCACATTATGAGTTGGTTTAGTTTCATCCTTTTCCACTATGGTTGGATATTATCCATAAACTCAACCGTGAAATATGCGTGAAAATAAACCAACTTAGCCACTTAGCTGTTTCATCAGATCCCATAAAATCATATGGGTATGGGTCAATACCTATAGATACATCCCCATGAAATCCCCATGAAATCAGCCTCTGCTAACATCCCACCTTTCACCACCTTTCACCACCGAGGTGTTCCACCCTACCGTCGGATTCCCGCGTCAGTTCCAGGTCTAGCTCGCCAGCTCTGTCTGAGGCGGGATGTGGGTCAAAATGGAAGACCATTAATGGGACCACAGATGTGAATGTCTAGTTTAGTTTTTTCACCATCCATAATTATTGGGGTACCTAATTTTGACCCATACCCAAATATGTTCATGAAAAACACACCATTTGGGGACTCTAGTTGATCTAAATTTAAAACGTGTGAATAGGAGAGGTTTCTAGTGGTGCATTTGAGGTGTGACTAGAGCATACGTTTCAAATTTAGCTAAATTATATAGTTTATTAATGTTGATTTATCTAAGCTGTTTATCATTTATAGTTAGTACATGTTAGTACTAATAATTATAATTATAGGCTAGATTATAGGTAATAATGTTTAATAATGATGATAGTCATAGTTTATTCATGTTAAGAAAGATTGTTAGGTAATAATGATTTGGAGGTGACTATAGTTTATTATTAATGTTTATTCATCGGAATGTTTATTAATAGATGATCACCACTGATAGTTAGTAATAATTAACAATAAACATTAACACTGTAGAAAATATTCATGGTTAATATATAGGATATCTATTAATACTATATGTCATACGATTACATCAATGAATATTTACCAGAATATTTAAATATCCATAGATGTTGTAAACTCAATCATATTTATACCATTGTTTGGGGATGATATTTACCACCCATTATCCACCCATTTATGGTAAAATGTGGGATGAATCAACACACATTCAGACTATCCATAACATTATGGAAATTACCGATGAAACATTAGCATCAAGATTGCTCATAACATATTCACTAAAATAATGGAGACAAGTATGTTGCAGGAATCCCTTGTTTTAATCATATTAAACTTAGTGATGTTTAGTAAATTAACCCATAAATGGACCCAGAAAAAGTAACCGCCTGTCATGTTCCTGAGATCTCAGTGGTGTTGGAGAACTACATACTGACTGTTGGTGGGTTCAAACATGAATTCTTGGTAAGATCCACCATGCTATTAATGGGAAAACTCACTATTTCTATGGCAAAAGTAGAGTATCTGATTGGTGGTTTGGAACATGAATGGATTTTTTTCCATAATTCATATATGGGATAATCATGCTTCCCAACTGACGAACTCCATGATTTTTCAAGATGGTGATTGATTGCACCACCAACCAGCTATAGATATATCACCTATATTCATCACCAGTACTAGGCAAAAAAAACATGGTCCGATAACGGGGATCGGAATCGGGATGTTTTTTTTGGAGTGGTGAAATGGGACGGACAAAAATCTATCGGAATCATAGGGGATTAGCCGATCTTGTAATTAAACTAACACTTTGCGAACTTGAAAAAACTAACATAGCTTTATGATCCTCCAAGTAACATCAAGTAACCAACTGGTATAAACTAACATAGCTATTGAAAATGCCCATTGAAATATATACATGATTTACCTATAAAAAATGGTGATTTTCCATAGTTATGTACACGTTTACCAGAGGGTATATGGTTTGAGAACTGACTGTAGACTAATGATGGGTTGGAGTTACTACCCTTTATAGACATGTGAATAGGGATAATCATGGACAATGATAACAATCCATGGTATTGTACTTCAGGAGTAGGTGTACGTTGGTCGTGACTGCGGATTTAGCAATCAAACAATGCAATATGGTGAAATGTATTTCAGAAACATGATCATAGGTAAATCATCTATAATTGATATAAATTTGCCATTTTCCATAGCGTTTGTTACGTTACCGAAGGCTGTCTACAATACTTTGGTGACCAAACTTGGTGGACGCCACAGTTTGACCCTGGCCATGTCTCGGAACTCGAGGCTTCCGTTGAGGATGCGGATAAGGACGTTGGAACGTTGGTGATTGCAACGGGTGATGAAATAAAGGATGGGATTTTTTGTACCCTCTGGTGAACTAACATAGCAATGGAAAATGGCCATTTATAGTGGATTTTCCCATTAAAAATGGTGATTTTCCATTGCTATGTTAGTTCACCAGAGGGTAATTACCGTAATCCTTGAACTCACCGACTGTCCGACTGGGTTTCCTATCTTTGAAACTTCACTGCTGACATGATTTGGGTATATTTGGGTTCCAGGTCTGGGCCGCAGAGATAGGGGTGGTGGTGCAGGCGGTGGTTGAAACTCAATGTACAATCCCCGCGCTAAATGGAGGTTTGTAGTTGGGAAAATCACCGAACTAAATTGAGGCTTTTTCAGCACGTCAGGTTTGATTACCAGATGGTAGAATAATAATGAATAATATATAGTATTTTGTTCCTTTTCCCAAGATGTCGCTTGAACTGTCCCTTCAGACTGTCGCAAGTTTGATGACCGTAACTCTGGATCCGGATTTCAACAAAAACAACGCAGGATCTTGGTTTCAACACCCATAGGATCCATGTATGCTATATTATTTACCATCAATATACCCCCAATGTTAGCATATATACGTACCATACATGGATCCTATGGGACATGTTTCAACCCTAGGTTTCCTTTTTCAGAACTCCGGCCACGCTGCATCCAGGATTTCCGATTTTGCTCCCGTGGAAGAACTCCAAGCCCTTGTCGCAGCACTCGGTGGTTCGGTGTCTTTTGAGTGGCAGCCACTAGAAACATTCAGCTACCACATGATGGTGCCCTTGTTTGGTTGGCAAAGTTGGTTTAAGTACTGCAGTTTTTTTATAGGTGTTACAGCAATTGTATCTATAATTTCACGGGTTTTACACAAGCCGAGACCGAGAATCAAAAGTTGGTTTAACTATGTTCAACTACAATGTGGGGCCCTCCAGTTATAAGTTGGTTTATAATCCCCATGAAAACTATAGTTATACTTACCATAAACCATAGTTATTGGAGTTATAAACCAACTTGTAGTATGTTTAACTAGTATTGTATCTAAAGCATGTTCATAGACAAGTCACGCCGTTGTCGTGTCTATCTGATGGCTCAGCGTTTTTTCGCGGCTACGCGTCGGCGACGCGTAAGGTCCATCAGAAAGCAGGCAGGAGACCTATCACATGGTCTTTGCTCCTCGGTATAAATCTACAGGATGGTGCCCTTGAGTGATGTTTGTTACTTTATAACCCTCATGAAAACTATAGTTATTTATTGTTATATCATGTTTAATATCTACTATAAACATCCATAAACCATAGAATTCAGCCACTAAAAAAGGCAGCTTAGCTATCTTGGGGGCCGCATCCTGGAGCAGTTTTTAGTTTAGAAGGACGATATGCACAGAGAAACTTCACTGAAAGGCGGGTTGGCAGCGGAAAGATTGGCGGACAGAATGAACTCAGCAGTACGTTGCGTTGAAAGTCTTAGCAGCAAGTCGGAAACTGTGGAACACACAGAAGTTGCACTGACTTTGAACTTGGCAGGCCATTTGAAACACACAAGTCTAAACCTGGATCAGCTGGAACTACTGGTTTGTGTAAGTAACTTATATTCCCCAGCTGCGCCACTGGGCGCTTTTTTCTGCCTGTGAGACTTGACTTGGCCCTGGCTGTCGGATTGGGAGTCGCTGAACTGACGGGTTTTTTACTCAATTGGGAATGAGCAGAGGTTGGTTCCCTAGAATTTCATGACCAAGGGAGTTGATCCAAAAAAACCTAAGCTGCAGACAAACCTCGCATTGTCAGTTGCATATCCCACTATACAATGATATACATGTCATGTACCCGTAAAATGCTTGGTTTCATGTTCATCACCACTAATTCTTGATGGCTCTGAATTCTCCATTTTCAGAAAATCATATCAAGTTGCTTACTTATATCTCATAGAATAACCCCAGTATACCCCCGCTTTTTATCCACAGTTTCTGATGGTTTAACCGCCTTTTTTCATGTTACTCGATGCTACTTGTGTAAAGTCTGGAAAGTGCTCCAAGCACTGTGTAGCGATAGGCCCCCCCAAGAGCGGTACCTGTAATTGTGCACCAATTTGCGCACATGCAAGAGGAGAAATTAGCGATGCCCCTAACGATACCTTAGCGATACCCATTCAAAA